AGAAGATCGATTTAGTATATATTAAGTAAAGATTTCATGAGTTTGCACCCACACAGAAACACAAAGTGTAAAATACTGTTTCAGTACTAGTTATAGCATTACTTCACATTGGACAACACATTAAGGACAGATCCCACATGAGAAGTAAGTACACAGTGACTCCTGTTGTTGACTTAACAATTTGATACTCTTGTTTATGGCGTCAGTAATCTCCCTAGGCTCTAGTCATGAGTTGCCAAGGCTATGGAAGCCTTTTGAGTTCGCTGACTTTGATCTTATTGAGACAGGGTCATAGTCAAAGTGGAAGTTATCTCCTCCCTTCAGAGAAAGGTACCTCCTTCTTTGATGGCCCCATTCTTTCCACTGGGATCACACTCGCAGAGATCTTTCAATTAGGTCTTCCTTTTTTTTCCAGAGTGTCTTGGCTTTCCATGCCTAAAATACTCTCATGGGCTCTTCAGCCAGATCCGAATGCCTTAAGGGCTGATTCTGAGGCCAGAGTGCTATTTAGGACATCTGCCATTCTATGAGTCTGCTCTGTATCCCGCTTCCCATAATGGATTGTTCTCTCCCTTTTTGGTTCTATCAGTTAGTATTAGCAGACACTAATCTTGTTTGTGTGATCCCTTTGACTCTTAGATCTATCAGTGTGATCAATTGTGAATTAAAATTGATCCCTTGGACTAGTGTGATGGCATTGGTACATGCCACCTTGATGGGATTGTATTGGAATCCCCTGGCACGTTTCTAACTCCACCATTTGGGGCAAGTCCGATTGAGCATGTAAAAAATTGTACTCCTCCTCCCTCTCTTATTCCCACTCTTATATTTAAATGGATCACTTTTAAGTTAAAATTTAAACACCTAAGAATAATTGTGTGATAATCACAGAGTGCAACCAATAGTACTAGAAAACAGAACAAAACAAAACAAAACAAAAAAATACTAAAATGGATAAAGTATTACATTGTACATCAACAGTCAGGACAAGGGCTGATCAAGTCACTGTTTCTCATAGTGTCCATTTCACTTCAACAGGTTTCCCCTTTGGTGCTCAGTTGGTTGTCGCCAATCAGGGAGAACATATGATATTTTTCCCTTTGAGACTGGCTTAATTCATTCAGCATAATGTTTTCCAGATTCCTCCATCTTGTTGTAAATGACCAGATTTCATTGTTTTTGACTGCTGTATAGTATTCTATAGAGTACATGTCCCATAACTTCTTTATCCAGTCTATTGTTGATGGGCATTTGGGTTGATTCTAGGTCTTAGCTATTGTGAATTCAGCTGCAATAAACACTGAGGTGCAGACAATTTTTTTGTTTGTCAGTTTAATTTCCTTTGGGTAAATTCTAAGAATGGAATGGCTGCATCATGTGGTAGGGCTATATTCAGGTTTCTGTGGAATCTCTAGAGTTATTTCCATTGTGGCTTAACCAGTTTGCATTCCCACCAACAGTGGGTTAGTGTCCCTTTTTCCCCACATCCTCTCCAGCATCTATTGTTGGCAGATTTCTGAATCAATCCCATTCACTATAGCTACAAAAACAATCAAATACCTTGGAATAAACTTAACCAAGGACGTTCAAGATCTCTACGATGAAAATCACAAAACCTTAAAGAAAGAAATACAAGAGGTACCAAAATTGGAAAAATCTTCCATGCTCATGGATTTGAAGAATCAATATCATCAAAATGTCCATTCTCCCAAAGCAATTTACAGATTCAATGCAATACCAATCAAAATACCAAAAACCTTCTTCTCAGATCTGGAAAAAATGATGATGAACTTCATATGGAGACACAGGAGACCCCGAATAGCTAAAGCAATCTTGGACAACAAAAACAAAGCCGGAGGCATCACAATACCAGATTTCAGGACATACTACAGAGCAGTTGTTATCAAAACAGCGTGGTACTGGTACAGAAACAGATGGATAGACCAATGGAACAGAATAGAAACATCAGAAATCAATCCAAACATCTACAGCCAACTTATATTTGATCAAAGATCTAAAACCAATCCCTGGAGTAAGGACAGTCTATTCAATAAATGGTGCTGGGAAAATTGGATTTCCACGTGCAGAATCATGAAGCAAGAACCCTACCTTTCACCTTACACAAAAATTCACGCAACACGGATTAAAGACTTAAATCTACGACCTGACAACATCAAATTATTAGAGAGCATTGGAGAAACCCTGCAAGATATAGGTACCGGCAAAGACTTTCTAGAAAAGACCCTGGAGGCACAGGCAGTCAAAGCCAAAATTAACTACTGGGATTGCATCAAATTGAGATTTTCTGTACTGCAAAAGAAACAGTCAAGAGAGTGAAGAGGCAACTGACAGAATGGGAAAAAACATTTGCAAACTATGCAACAGATAAAGGGTTGATAACCAGAATCTACAAAGAAATCAAGAAACTCCACAACATCAAAACAAACAACCCACTTAATAGATGGGCCAAGGACCTCAATAGACATTTTTCAAAAGAGGGAATCCAAATGGCCAACAGACACATGAAAAAATGTTCAAGATCACTAGCAATCAGGGAAATGCAAATCAAAACCACAATGAGGTTTCATCCTCACCCCGGTTAGAATGGCTCACATTCAGAAATCTACCCTTAAGTTTCTGAGGTATATGCTGTGTGGCCACAGGAAGTCTGTCCACCAATTGAGATTTGGGCACAAGTCCAAAGTGATTCCTAACATGGGCACTGTAGAGAACCTGTGAATTTAATCAGTAGGAGGGGGAGTGTTATAGCCAGGTAGTTTGTTTGTCGTCCCGGTTCTTCTCTGTGATGGGATCAACCAGCTGCCTATGGTGAACTCACTTTAGCAGAGTGTCTCATCCACCAAAGCACTTGTACCATCCAGGTGCACTGCACTGTGTCCTCTGACCCATCCATAACATCTGTCCCCAGGTTGCAGGGAGCTCCAAGTCTCTAATCTCAGACTGGACAGGTACATCAGAACCCAGCCACAACCTACCCACAACTGATCCTCTCAGTGCAATGGCATATACCCGGAATTCCCACATTCTAGGGTACAGTGGAGTCCACTCTCCACCCTGAAAGTTGATCCATTCCTGATGTTCTTCACCAGCAAGGAGATTTCCCATCATTTCTATGGAAAAAGCATTGTTTCAGGGCCGGTGCCATGGCTCACTTGGTTAATCCTCCACCTTGCAGCGCCAGCATCTCATATGGGCGCTGGGTTCTAGTCCCGGTTGCTCCTCTTCCAATCCAGCTCTCTGCTGTAGCCCTGGAAGGCAGTGGAGGATGGCCCAAGTGCTTGGGCCATGCACCCGCATGGGGGACCAGGAGGAAGCACCTGGCTCCTGGCTTAGGATTAGCACAGTGCGCCAGCTGTGGCGGCCATTTGGGGAGTGAACCAATGGAATGAAGACCTTTCTCTCTGTCTCTCTCACTGTCTATAACTACCTGTCAAATAAAAAAAGCATAGTTTATTTGTGACTTCACTATGTCAAATTGAGTCTGATGTTTTGATTGGGTTTGCTATGGGAGGCAATATAGCCCATCTTCATGAAAATAGCAATTGTCCAGACCATTGCCAGCTAAATAGACCATAAGCGGGGAGATTGGGGACTGTGAAATTCTCCCTATCAAATGTAACCAATGGCAGGGGCTGTGGCAGCCTCCTTCCAGCTTACTCTGGCAAGACTGTGCTTACCAGCTGGTAGTGTAGATGTCAGAGTGATTGACAGCACACAGCTGGTGATTAAATATCTGTCTTCTTTCCTCACTGCCCCATTGAGTCTTTGTTCTGTTCTTTTTCCACTAAAAAATTATCTCAATCAGTGTCCTTGGAATGCGGTCCTTCCCTTGTGTTTCTAGCATACTTCCATGGCTGAGGTCAATGTGGTTTCTCACTATCCTGATGTCTTCACAGGCACCCTATTGAGAAGTCTTAAAACCCTGTCATGGAAGTATTACTACTAAGGAAAACTTGTCAGTAACTACAGTGAGGAAGTACGCATTATTTGTACAGAAAGAAGCAGTTTTTTCATGCCTCATCTTTCCAAAGCCACCAGTGTTCCTGTCACAGAGAGAAAATTACCGTTTTATGCAGTGAAACAACTATCACAGATGAATTCTGGAAAGGGTTCCTTTTTTATGCAGATATCCCCTACAATAAAGAATGAGGTAAACAACTTACATAAGTTATGTGTAAGCAGATTGGGTTCTAAATATAATATTTCAAATTTCTTCCAGAGATGTCAGCAGCTGCTATTTGAAGATGAGTGACTACTTTCAATACACTACAGTGGAAATGAGTTTCTCAAATTAAAACCAAATTACTTTTCTCATCATTAATGGATGAACTATTTGGATACTGAAATGAAAGTTGTCCAAGACCAGACTAAAGGAGCAAAAATAACTACAAGAGTTCCAAATGCAACCCAAATAGCATTTCTTCCATTCTGTATTCTTCCCATAAGATGATAATATTGCATATTGCTTCAAATTCAGCAGACAAAGCAATGAGACCTAGCAGTCACAATAAAGTCTGTCTGTTTTGCAAAAGAAGAGACTGAATCACAAGGGCCTGGAAGAGGTGCTAACCAATTTTTATGCATTTAGGTCATTAGGGAATTCTGTCACCTCAAATTTGAAGGATTACAACTTGAGTCTTATTAAAATGCCACCTGAGGTCTAACACTGTTATACTATTCAGGCCTATATTGCTTTCTTTAAAATTTGACCTCTCTGATTGAGGATTTCCATGGTTTTCAAATATTTGTCCCCTCTAAAATTCATCTTAACTTAATTGTAATTATGTCAATTTTTAAGATGAAGTCTTTAAGAGGTGATTGTGTTAGGAGGGCTCTACCCTCATGGGTTGGTTTATTGCCTTTACAAAGGACTTTGGAGAGTGGGTTCTCTCTTCTCCTCCTAACTCCTGCCATGGAACAACACAGTAAGAAGGCCCTCATTAGATGCCAACCTCTACCCCATATATATGACTTCTCACCTTCCAAACTGGGAGCCAATGATTTTCTACTCTTCATAAATTCTTCAATCTCAGGTATTGTAGTGGAAAAACCAGTCTGAGACACGACTAATATATAACCCTGAATTTCTTGTATTAACTATTATATGAAATATTACTGATGTCCCCCAGAAATCTGAAATAAATAAAAAAATCAGAAATTAGTTGTATAAAATATTCAGATGCTATCTTATATTCTTCAGTTAACTGGTCAATAAAGCATATTATTTAAGGGGAAATTGTCTTAGAAACAACGGACATAGGGTCTTCTATTTAAGCATTACTTTGCCCCACATGCCAATAGTCCTACAAAACTTGTATATTGGAAATTAATCCCCAATGGGGTCCTATTAAAAGTGGATATCTTAAGAGTACACTTGAATGAGCCCTTCTGCCCTGCCACCATGTGACATATACCAGGTGACACCTAAGAGGAGTATAACTTCACCAAAACCAAATTGGCTGATGCCTGGCTCTTGGATTTCTCAGGTTTGTAAATATGAGTGTAAAATTTTTGTATTTTATTAGTTATCCAATCTAAAGGTTTTAGTCTTAGCAGTAAAATGAACTGAAGCAGTTAGGTTGCATTAGATTTTTAAAGCAAAGTCTATCAAATTTATGTCTGAAGTAGCCATGCAAAACAACAAGTATTTTTTAAAGACTTATTTATTTGAAAGCCAAGTTACACAAAGAGAGAAGGAAAGGCAGAGAGAGAGAGAGAGAGAGAGAGGTCTTCCATCTGCTGGTTCACTCTCCAATTGGCCACAACAGCTGGAGCTGTGCCAATCTGAAGCCTGGAGCCAGGAGCTTCTTCAGGTGCAGGGCCCAAAGACTTGAGCCATCCTATACTGCTTTCCCAGGCCATAGCAGAGAGCTAGATCAGAAGTGGAGCAGCCAGAACTTGAACCAGTGGCCATATGTGATGCCGGCACTGCATGCAGCAGCTTTACTTGCTACACCACGGTGTTCGCCCTACAGCAAGTATTTTGAAGTATACCCAGATATTTCTTGGTGATCAAATGTTGAAAAAAACAAAATTTTAAGTCCTGGTTTTCAACTCTAGATAGTTTCTCTTGTTTATCAATTCACTTCTTTTATCAGTATTTTTCACCAATGTGGCTATTATATACCTCATATCATACATTAAAATTGTTCTTAATGCATATTTACCACATCCTATATTTAAACTCTCTTATCATTGCCTTCATTTTATAAAACTCACCATTTTGTTGTTGGAATTGCTATAATTAAAATGACTGATTTGCTTATTTGTATATTAAACAAGGCGTTACTGCTTCAAATTTTATTCAGATTTTGCAGTAGGTTAAATAATTCTCTTCTGCCCACTATAATTCGTATATTGAGATCTTGACACCGAGAATCTCAGAACATGACTTATTAGAGACATGATCTTTAAAGAGGTGATTAAGGTAACATGAATTTATATAGATGGGCCCTAATCCAAGAAAGCCAAGGTTCTAATAAAAAATAAAATTAGTTCATAGATAACGGACATATGCAGGTTAGGCATGGAAGGATCCAAAGAAAAGTTAAGAACTCTGAGGAAGCGAAACTTGCCAACTCTTGGATCTTGGATTTCAACCTTCCAAATTCTGAGAAAATAAATTTGTGTTTAAATCACACCACCAACACCCATTTTTTTTTTTTTTTTGGCAGTCTAGCAAATCAATGCAGTTTCCCACCGCTATTTTTACCTAAGTAATCATATCTAATTTATACTCACATTTTTATTTATTTCCCAAATAGACTCAGTTGGGCTATAATTAAACATTATACTTTAAAATAAACCAGTCCAAAAAGGCAAATATCATGTTTTCTCTGATATGTGGTAGTAAATATAGAATACTAATATATATACATATATATACATAAATATGCAAATATATGAATGAGACTATAATAATGGACTGACATCTTATGATTTGAGTATTATTTATAGCCCTTGTCTGTATTTATGTGGGACAGTAGTATTATATTTTTACTTGTTGAACATTATGTATGGTGCATTAAGCCTGTGATTATAAAGAAAATTAAAATTAAGTCATTGCAAAAATTAAAGAAAAACAAGGAAGGAAGGAAGGAATATTCAGGGAAGGAAGAACAGAGTAAAGATTGGTAATAATCCTAGATTTGTATCTGTGAAATACATGAAATCTGTTCTCTTTATATTAATAAATATAAAAACACTTAAAAGAAAATTAGGTAAAAGAGATTTTCTTTCATAGAATATTTATAATTCTTAAAATCTAACTAAATTTATGTTTAATATACTTTTTTAAATTTTTTATTTAGTAAATATAAATTTTCAAAGTACAGTTAATGGATTACAATGGCTTCTCCCTCCATAATTTCCCTCCCACTCACACCCCTCCCATCTCCCTCTCCCTCTCCCATTGCATTCACATCACGATTCATTTTCAATTATCTTTATATGCAGAAGATCAATTCAGTATATATTAAGTAAAGATACTTTTAGTATATGTACTGTCCAAGCGAGCACGTGTACAATAAGTGAATTGATAAACAAGAGAAGCTATCTAGAGTTGAAAACCAGGACATTCTAGGGAAAATAAATTAGAATGGCTTATAGAAATGTCATATGGAGTATCTTTCAAAATATTTCAAAGTATCATCAGTATTCATTAATATAATTTTTGTTTTGTTTATGAAAAATAATCATCTTTTGTATTTCACTATTATTGAATAAAATTTACAAAATATTTTATTGCTTTAATAGGTATCTCAATTCAATATTACATATGAATAATGATTTTCCTTTAAAAGTATAATTTAAGATAAATAAAATTTAACCAGATACTTCTAATTATTGTATGTAACAAAAATTTATTAGCACTAGAGCCATACTTCACCAGGGCAGCAGTATCACTTACATAGTTCATATCATGAGGATAAAATGTATCTCACCAAGAGATCTATGGCCTCAAATAAGAATATTGGCTGTTGGGCAATTATACATCATTTTTATGTATTGTCTTTAGTTCTGCCTAGGATTAATTTTTAGCACCATTCTCCAATAAAAGGAACCAGACTCCTTTAAGAAGTCGCTGCTTGTGAAGAAGGGACAGGAATATAGAAAAATGACCCCCTCAGAATAAAACCAACAAAAACACACTGATGGGGGTATGGCAAAAGGATATAGGAGGAAAGGGAAATAGATCTCCACAGACAAAGTTGAAACAATGTGATTAACAAAAACGTAGTAGTATATTACAAACCAAGTTATAAAATAAATATCCAAGAGGACATAATGTTATACATAAATAAATGAATGCATTAATAAATAGGAAAGAAGAGACAGAGCTCCTTTGTAGATTTCCAGATACTTTGCCCTCAAGGAAGTGAGGTATACCACCCCATTCTCTGAAAATGAGCTGCTTATAAACAGAGATTTCTTTCTACTGGATATAATGGGTGAAATGGGTGGATCCATAGGACTAAACATGCAAGAAATTAGAATTGAGGAAAAATAGCAACTTTACATATACGGTGCCTGAATATGACAGCTACTTCCTCAGCCAGGAGATTATGGTTATTCAAGTAGTGATTGACAGCATTTTGGCAACCTGTACCACTGACGTTATTTGATGAAAATGGCATTTTACTTCTGAGGCCCACCCCCCCAACTCCTGACACACAACTTCAATCTAGACTTCAGAAAAATGATAAGAAAAATCAGACAAATATCAATTGAAGGTTGTTTTAAAAAATATTTGACCTGTATTCTTTAAAAATTCCAAGGCCATCAAAAAAAAAAAGGCAGAATCCAAAAGAAAGTCATATTCAAGAGGATTTTACCTAGGCATGATAACCATCCATAATATATCATTCTGAATGAGATCATTGAAGAGAAAAGGTCATGAAACAAAAATAAGATTATTGAAACCATGTGGATATTACTCAATAATAATGTAATATAATTATTTCATTAATGATAACAAATGTATCCTAACATAAAATAATAAGGGAGCTTGCTGTGTAGTATATGGAAAATGTCTTCACTCTCTTTATTTTTTTATATATCTAAAGATATTTTTAGATATTAAATTTAGGGCTTTGTGTTTTGCTTGGTGGCTAAGACCCTGGTTAAAATGCCCAGGCTCCTGGGGCCGGCGCTGTGGCTCACTTGGTTAATTCATATGGGCACCAGGTACTAGTCCCAGCTGCTCCTCTTCTAGTCCAGCTCTCTGCTGTCACCCGGGAGGGCAGTGGAGAATGACCCAAGTGCTTGGGCGCCTGCATCCGCGTGGGAGACCAGGAGGAAGCACCTGGCTCCTGGCTTCGGAGCGGCGCAGTGTGCCTGCCATAGTGGCCAATTTGGGGGTAAACCAATGGAAGGAAGACCTTTCTCTCCTTCTCTCTCTCTCACTGTCTAACATTATCTGTCAAATAAAAAAAAAAAAATGCCCAGGCTCCTGAATCCACCTTCTGCTAGTGAGAGCCCTGGGAAGCAGCAATGATGGCTCAAGTGCTTGGGTTTTCTACTATTCATGTGGAGACCTAGGTTGTATTCCAGGATATATTTCCCTTTGGATCAGCCCTCATTGTTTTAGGCACTTACACAATGAACCAGCAGAGGGTAGCTCTCCATCTCTTTATCTGCATGTCTCTTTCTACTCTCAAATACATACTAACAAATACAATATTTTAAAAAATGAGTCAGCAATAAGCTGAATTTTAATAGTCAAAATAGAAGAGAAAGGAATATAAATATAAATACTAATTTTGATTATTTTCATATATTTTTAGAAATTTAGTTGTAACAAACTATTGAATTAATAAAAGTAAAAAAATACATATTTATGGTATAAGATGGACACTTTGCTATCTGACTCTTGCCCAGTTTTCATTTCTTTATATATATTCACCTCCCTCACACTGGCAAAATAGTTTTCAGAATGTTCAACATGGTTTCACAAGTTGATGACTTTTCAAATGCTGATCACCTAGTTTTTTCTTAAACTCAGCTCTTTTATCACCTGTTCCAAGAAGACCTCCATCCTACCATCTAAAATAATTTTTATATTATCATACATTCAGTTCTTTCTATCACAAATCCTACTATATTGACATTGTAAGCATTGTTTTACAAAATAT